AGTTTTATCCCGCAATCCATGAACCAGTTTAGTAGCCCTTCTCTGAACCCTCTCTAAGGTATCAATATCCTTCTGAAGATACGGTCTCCACTACTGCGTACAATACTCCAAGTGAGGTCTCACCAGTGTTCTGTACAATGGCATGAGCACTTCCCTCTTTCTACTGCTAATACCTCTCCTATACAACCAAGCATTCTGCTAGCATTTCCTGCTGCTCTATTACATTGTCTGCCTACCTTTAAGTCATCAGAAATAATCACCCCTAAATCCCTTTCCTCATATGTTGAGGTTAGAACTCTATCAAATATTCTATACTCTGCCCTTGGGTTTTTACGTCCAAGATGCATTATCTTGCACTTATCCACATTAAATGTCAGTTGCCACAATTCTGACCATTTTTCTAGTTTACCTAAATCATTTGTCATGAACGGGGGTATACGAACAGGAAATCCAGCGAACAAAGGGAAACAGACGAACCAGCAATACAGATGAATCTGTCACACCTTGTAGCTGTCCTTCTGGGCTGTGGGAATGATCCCGCCGCTTGCCACCAATTGAAACGGCACCCCGGGCAGAAAAAGGGTTAAACACCGTTTAGGAGATATTCCCCTTCCAGATATACAGGCAGTTACCAAAGACACCAATCCACAGGAAACCATAATTATCACAGGCAGAGAAATTGTTTTAACACATTATTCATAATTTGAAAAGTATGCATCACATTCACATAAAACTAAAATTCTTAAATTAAATTTTAAGAATCAGCATAATCCAAATACAAACATACGTCAAAATCATCCAAATTGGTCCAGTGGTTCAAAAGATAGATCGTAGTCCTTTGTGACCAAATGAAGCATGGCTTTTCTGCTCAATACCAGTTCCACAGAGTCTTCTATCCTGGAGATAATTGGGAAGTAATCGAATTATCTCCAAGGATATAGGCAAAACTCCATTGAACACATGGCAGCAAAAGACAATAAAATACATAAAAATATATAACTGTGCAGCCATTGCATAAATCAGGTACATTCAACATATCCCTAGATAGCTCAGATCTGAGCGCACATTATTACTGAATGGTGCTCAGATCACACACATACAGTTCAATTGCCATGGAGCCAAAGTCTTTCCCATAGCCTTTCATTATACGAATGGGCTTCATGGCATAGCTATCTGGTTCGTCACACAGATACTCTGAATTATTATACAGAGCGACATGTTTATTATCAGTGTATAGATAGTATAATTATACAGAGCGACATGTTTATTATCAGTGTATAGATACTCAGTATCATTATACAGAGCGACATGTTTATTATCAGTGTATAGATACTCAGTATTATTCTACAGAGCGACATGTTTATTATCAGCGTATAGATACTCGGTGTTACAAAAGACTGGAGATCACTATGTTGCTGTTTTAACTCACCGATTGATACTGTTTGCCACTGCATAAGTTAAGCAGAAAACCACACGAATGGATTACGCGAACCCTTATGAAGGCTCCATTTGTGGTATGAACGGGGGACCCCCCAGAAACTGGCGTGTGCCGCCACTTAACCCCGTCACCCCGCAAACTACCGAACGGTCGACCACCCGGCCCGCGGAGTGTGGCAGCCATTAACCACCCAGGTGGCTGCGGTTTGCGGTTAACCACAACGTAATTGATAGGCCTGGGGGCATCGACGTTCGCACCCAAAGTACCGAAGGGAAAATACCGAACTATCAACCGAACGACGACCCCCTACAGCAGGTCGCGTGGCGCTCATTAACTGTGGTTTCTGCGGTTAACCGCAGGTCAAGTACCCTGCTCCCAGGTGGTCCTCATTCTCTTACCGAATGAGCCCACTACCAGACAGACAGCGGGACTTCGCATGAACTGATACCGAGTTTAGTTCCACGAGTTAGACACGAAGTCCCGCTGCTCGCTAAACCAGCAGAAAACATGGCCGCCAACAAAGACTAACAATCTCAAAATGCCGAACGGACTTTATACGTCAGAAACAGTACATTCTGTTCGTGGGATTAGAGCGCCATTCGCCTGTTTTATATACACGAACGCAAGCCTTCAGATGAATGGTAGAATGAGTGGTGTTACTGTAATAATGTACAAGTTATGGATTTTCATATAGTTTGCTAGGACATAATAAAACGTGGTCTTTTGTGCGCTTGGAGATAATTAGATTGTAAAACCGTTGGCCTCATTATCTCCAAGCTGGGCAGGTACTAATTCAAATGATACAGTGTACTGTGATTGGTTACCTGTTTGTACTGTACCTGTATTCAGGGCCGGACTGGGAGAAAAATTCGGCCCGGGCATTTTTTTAACACAGCGGCCCACTAAAAAGGGGGCGGGGCAGAGGAGGTGTGTTTTGTCATCACCAATGACAAACACGCCCTTCTCTCAAAGTGAGCATGTTGGTTCAATGCTCTTCCAGGGCAGACCATGCGCAGAGCTCTGCTGAAGAGCTCTAGCATGAGAAAAAAGTCCTGTATTTGTTCTGCACAGTGCAAGCAAATTTAATAACATGCTTGCACTGTGTTTCCTTGCAACTTGTCTCTGGTGTCTTTATAAATGGATACCAGGAGACAAAAGGCCAGGAAAGAGTATTGTGCATGTGTTTGGAGCCTGCTTGTGGTATTGCGTGTGTGTAGAGTGAGCTGGTCGTGGTGTGGTATTGTGTAATAAGGTCGGTTTTAGTCGTGTTGTGTTTGTGGTGTAATGTGATGCATATGTGGCTCAGGAACCCCCTCCCGCACGGCTCTGGAAAGGGGTTAAAACTTACCTTTTTCCAGCGCCGGGTGGGGAGCTCTCCTCCTCCGATCCGCCCCGTCGGCTGAATGCGCACGCGCGGCAAGAGCTGCGCGCGCATTCAGCCGGTCGCATAGGAAAGCATTTATAATGCTTTCCTATGGACGCTTGCGTGCTCTCACTGTGATTTTCACAGTGAAAAGCACGCAAGCGCCTCTAGCGGCTGTCAATGAGACAGCTGCTAGAGGCTTTGGGGGAAGGCTTAACCCATTGATAAACATAGCAGTTTCTCTAAAACTGCTATGTTTATAAAACAATGGGTTAACCCTAGAAGGACCTGGCACCAAGACCACTTCATTAAGCTGAAGTGGTCTGGGTGGCTAGAGTGGTCCTTTAAGAGAGTAGTGTGTGTGTGTGTGTGTGTGTGTATATATATATATATATATATATATATATATATATATATATTTGGAAGTATTGTGTATGTGTGTGGTGCAGTGTGTTGGGGGGGGTTCTGTGTGTATGTGAGGGGTGCAGTATGTGTGTGTGTGAGGGTGCGGTGTATGTGTGTGTGTGAGGGTGCGGTGTGTGTGAGAGTGCCGTGTGTGAGTGCCGTGTGTGAGTGATGGGTGTGAGAGTGCTGTGTGAGATGGGTGTGAGAGAGTGCTGTGTGAGAGTGCTCTGTGAGAGAGTGCTGTGAGTGTGATGGGTGTGAGAGTGCTGTGAGAGAGTGCTGTGTGTGTGAAAGTGCTGTGTGTGATGGTGTGAGAGTGCTGTGTGAGAGAGTGCTCTGTGAGAGTGCTGTGTGTGTGTGAGAGTGCTCTGTGAGAGTGCTGTGAGTGTGATGGGTGTGAGAGAGTGCTGTGTGTGATGGGTGTGAGAGTGCTGTGTGTGATGGGTGTGAGAGTGCTGGGTGTGAGAGTGCTGTGTGTGATGGGTGTGAGAGTGCTGTGTGTGATGGGTGTGAGAGTGCTGGGTGTGAGAGTGCTGTGTGTGATGGGTGTGAGAGTGCTGTGTGTGATGGGTGTGAGAGTGCTGTATAAATGTTATTGTGTGTGTGTAGGGGGGGGTAAATAAAAAAACAAACAGACACTATGTCCCCCCCTCCCTTCTTACCTTTAGCCTGGGGGGGGGGACCGGCACGCTGGGACTGGGAGGCGGGGAGGCGGTGTTCCCTGGTGGTCCTCGTGGGTGAGTGAACTCTAGCCTGTGAGGCTAGAGTTCACTCTCGCGAGATCCGGTCGTTGCCATGGCAACGCGCCAGATCTCGCGAGAGGAACCCGGCGGAGCTGCAAGTTAGAGCTCCGCCGGGTCCTCTCTCCAGCCTGGCTGGCTCCCTCTCTGCCCGCCGGCGGCCGCATGTGGGCCGGTCAGGGAGATCCTTGATCTCCCCACCGGCCCGTCGTGGCAAACAGCATAGACCGGCAGGGGAGATCCTGGGACCTCCCCTGCCGGCCTCGGCCCATGGCCACCGCGGCCCACCGGGCATTTGCCCGCTGTGCCCGATGGCCAGTCCGGGCCTGCCTGTATTCCATCAGGTCCACAGGGGGCTGTCCTTGGACCTGGGGAATCACATAAATTGCCATGCTATGTGCCAGTAAAGCCAGTTCGTTTTGACCCTCAACTTGCAGCCTCGACTCATGTTGTAGGGATCCGGGATATTGATGCTTATATCGTGCTTGGGGATATTCTACATTTGCAGCTTACTACCGAAAGACCTCCGTTCGACTCTCTACAGCGGGAACCAGGACATCCAAGCGATCAACCCTCCTGCTAGACCGGGGGCAATCGTAACACTCTGTATTATTATACAGAGCGCTGTGTTCATTGTCAGCGTATAGATACTCGGTATTATTATACAGAGCGACATGTTTATTATCCGTGTATAGATACTCGGTATTATTATACAGAGGGACATGTTTATTATCAGTGTATAGATACTCAGTATTATTATACAGAGCGACATGTTTATTATCAGTGTATAGATACTCGGTATTATTATACAGAGCGCTGTGTTCATTATCAGCGTATAGATACTCAGTATTATTATACATGTTTATTATCGACGTATAGATACTCAGTATTATTAAACAGACTAGTGACTACATTATTACGTGGATACTGTGGTGTATACCAGCAGTTCCCTCTAGGGGAGCTTTGCACAATGCACAGTTTGTCCCTAACCAGCTCCTGTAGGAAGTGTGCAAGGCATGCTGGGATGGATACACCCCCTAGATTTGCTCTCTTCCCAGTGTGTGCATGGAGTTCGGCCATGTTGGGTGTATGTTACAGCAGGAATGTGTATATCAACAAAGGGATCGAGCATAATATGTGACTTGTGATCAATAAATCCTGGCTGATTAATAGACGGTATGTTATTGTAAGGCAGCTATCATCAAACATAACAGGTACTCGGTATCATTATACAGAGCGACATGTTTATTATCAGCGTATAGATACTCAGTATTATTATACAGAGCGACATGTTTATTATCAGCGTATATATACTCAGTATTATTATACAGAGCGACATGTTTATTATCAGCGTATAGATACTCAGTATTATTATACAGAGCGACATGTTTATTATCAGCGTATAGATACTCAATATTATTATACAGAGAGACATGTTTATTATCAGTGTATAGATACTCAGTATTATTATACAGAGCTACATGTTTATTATCAGCGTATAGATACTCTGTATTATTATACAGAGTGACATGTTTATTATCAGTGTATAGATACTCAGTATTATTATACAGAGCTACATGTTTATTATCAGCGTATAGATACTCAGTATTATTATACAGAGCGACATGTTTATTATCAGCGTATAGATACTCAGTATTATTATACAGAGCGACATGTTTATTATCAGCGTATAGATACTCAGTATTATTATACAGAGCAACATGTTTATTATCAGCGTATAGATACTCAGTATTATTATACAGAGCGATATGTTTATTATCAGCGTATAGATACTCAGTATTATTATACAGAGCGACATGTTTATTATCAGCGTATAGATACTCGGTATTATTATACAGAGCGACATGTTTATTATCAGCGTATAGATACTCGGTATTATTATACAGAGCGACATGTTTATTATCAGCGTGTAGATACTCGGTATTATTATACAGAGCGACATGTTTATTATCAGCGTGTAGATACTCAGTATTATTATACAGTGCGACATGTTTATTATCAGCGTATAGATACTCAGTATTATTATACAGTGCGACATGTTTATTATCAGCGTATAGATACTCAGTATTATTATACAGAGCGACATGTTTATTATCAGCGTATAGATACTCAGTATTATTATACAGAGCGACATGTTTATTATCAGCGTATAGATACTCAGTATTATTATTCAGAGCGACATGTTTATTATCAGCGTATAGATACTCAGTATTATTATTCAGAGCGACATGTTTATTATCAGTGTATAGATACTCAGTAAACATGTCACTCTGTATAATAATACAAAGTATCTATAACTGACTAGGGATCAACCGATTATCGGCCGATATTCGCTATTTTCAACCATAATGGTCAATATAGATACCGATAATACATACCAGGACCGCCGGACCCATTACAAGTCCTTACTTACCTTTCCAGCAGCTCCCTTCCGCTCCTCAGTGTTCCCACGGGTTACCATGGCAATTCCCCGCGCAGCACGCAGGCCGCAAGATTTACACCGGGAGCGGAAGGGAGCTGCTGGAAAGGTAATCGCTACCTGCGGGCCCCCCACTGCTCAGCACATGCCACTGGACCACCAGGGAATGCCATAGCCCCCTCCCTGGCCAGGTAACAAGCAGGGAGGGGAGACAAAAATAAACATAAATAATACATATTAAATATAAAATTAAAATAAAAAATGCCTCCATTTTACACAAATTACATCCCTTAACACTCTGCATTATATACAAACACACACTACACAAACACACTGCATTCATTATATATACATATACACTCTGCATTCATTACATACACACACACACTCTGCATTCATTATATACACACACTGCATTATAAAAAAAACACACACTCTGCCTTAATTATATATATATATATATATATATATACACACACACACTCTGCCGTAATTATATACACACACACACTCTGCCGTAATTATATACACACACTGCATTCACTTTACGCACATTACACTCTGTATTCACTATATATACTCACTGCATTCATTATACACACTACACAAATACACACAGCTCCCCTGTCTAAACACACTGCATCCACTACATGTGGCATGTATATTTTGTGCCTTTACCTTTAGCAATACTTTATTAAAAAAAATAAA